GTCTTAAGAGGAATGGAGAACCTGAAAGAGGTTGACCCGAACAAAATTTGAACAGGTGTTTGTTTGTGAAGGACTTGGATAGGAAGACAATTAATCAAATAAGCGGCAGTGAGAATCACTTCCCCTCAATAGGATCGAGGAACCCACATCTCAAAGGATAGACAACGAGCGACATCAAGGAGATGACGATTTTTGCGTTCTGCAACACCATTTTATTGAGGGGTATTAGTGCAAGAAGTCTGGTGAATAATGCCATGTGTGGCGAAGTAAGTGGCAAGACCAAAATCAATATACTCTCCCCCATTATCAAAACATAGAATTTTGACAACCGCCCCAAACTGAGTACAAACCATTTTATAGAAGTTTTGAAACACAAAAAAAACCTCACTTTTATCTTTCATCAAATAAGCCCAAGTGACCTGGAACAATCATCTATGAAGGTAACAAACCATTTTTGACCAGTTAAAGACACAAAATGGGATGGGCCCCATATATTAGAATGAATCAAAGAAAAAGAAACTAAACTTTTATTAATAGAAGGAGCAAAAGAAGTTCTGTGTTGTTTTCCAAGTTGACAAGACTCACATTGAAAATCTAACACATTATTTGTCTAAAAAACAGAGGGAAATAAATGCTTAAGTAATAAAAAGAGGGATGTCCCAAGTGACGATGCCATAGCCAAATGTCGTCCTTAGTGGATAGTAACTGAATAGAAGAATGAGTCAGCTTGTTTGTCTGATTCAGAATGTAAAGCCCATGTTCCTCTCTACCATTGTCAATCCTCTTCTTTATGATAAGGTCCTCAAAAAGACAATGATCAGGAAAAAAAGTCACGCTACAATTTAAGTCATGGGTAATACGACTCAAAGATAAAAGATTAACACTGGAATTGGGAACATGAAGGACAGAAGACAAAGGAAGGGAAGATGTGGCATGAATTAAACATTTCCCTAACACAGACGAAATGATATCATCAGCGATACGGACTTTTTCCTGACCTGAGAAGGGGTTATACTCAGAAAATAAATTAGAGGAGCCAGACATATGGTCAGAAGCACCGGAATCAATAATCCATGGTACAGTCATATGAGATAGCAATGCACATGTGGAGGAAACTAAGTTACCTGAATTGGCAAAGGAAGAAGAGGGTGCACCTGTAGCAGAAATGGAGGCTCGACGGTCTAGCAAATGGCGAACAACAATCTCAAAATCCGAGGCAGATAACCCCGAAACATCAACAGCGGTGGAGACAACTGGAGAAAAAGATGATGGCTTAACAGTGTCTGAAAGGTGAGCTCGTGCATTGGCCCCGCAGCCTCTAGGACCAAACTGACCTCTGCGAGTACCAAGACGGTCGCCTCGGCCACCAGAGGAAGTGTCATGCAGCTTCCAACAAGTCTCTCGTGTGTGGCGAGATTGACGACAGTAATCATAGTACAAATTATCCTTCTTAGAGGAAAGACGAGACCCATGAGTTATACGGTCACCAAGGCCGAGCGATCAGTAATAGCAGAAGGAAGCATCGCAGAACGGCGACACTTCTCATTTTGCTCAAAAGCAAAGGCTTCCTGGAGAGAAGGAAGCAGATCCATGCCAAGTACCCTACTCCGAACCGGATCATACTCCACATTTAGGCCTTCCAAGAACTTAAAGACCCGCTCTTGCGCCACAAACTTCTGGTAACTAGCAAAATTAGTGGGACAGACAGGCTTGTAATCCTGAAGGTGATCAAGCTACTTCCACCCATTTCTAAGAAAGGTAAAGTACTAGAGGATAGTCTGCTCACCTTGTACCGACCTTTCAATAGAGCGACGTAACTCAAAAGCCTGTAAAAAGTTTCCCTTCCTGGAGTAAGTAGTTGCTACGGCCTCCCAAATATCTTGGATAGTGTCCATAGACAAGTAGCCCTCTCCAATCTTTGGAACCATAGAATGGATCAACCAGCCCATATCCAGATTATGCCATAACAGAAAGTATATCACTTTTGAAATTTTTCTGAAATTTTCTGAAATTTTTTGGTATTTTCTGAAATTTTAAATAATTAATAAACACACAAAAAATCATAAATAAACATTCCAGAATCTGAGAAAATGCAACAACCATACCAGTAAATATTAAACCATTACAGTGGTCTATAGTAAAAATTTCAGCTCCAAAAACTTAATCATGCAACACCAGATGCATTTTAAAGCAGAAATAATGAATTATTATTTTAGGAAAAATATTTTTTATTTTTATAAAATTTTGAAAATGTTACAAAAGATAGAAAATTTAATTCTGAGTCTAACAGTACCAACCACGCTTAAAACAAAGCTATTACGAATTACTTATGACCATTTAAAGCAATTTTGATTTTTTAAAACAAACAAATAGAACCTTATACCCAGCTGCCAAACCAGCCAAGCCAGCGCGGAAAATGGCGTGGCTCGGCTCGGCTCAACTCGAAGCTCAACAAGCGACTCAGCGAGCAGCCCAGCATGCGGCTCAACTCACGGCGCGCGCGTGGACAGCGTGGCTTACGCGAGCGTGATGGCGTGTGACAGTGTGTGTCTGTCGTTGACGGCGTCATTTGGCGCATTAGGATCACGCGTCGCCTTTCGGGGTGTATTTCTGGTCCAATTTTGGTACTACCAGACTCCATTTTTCAAAATAAACATTTATGGTCTTAAAAATAACATTTAATGAACATAAAAATGAGGCATTTTACACTCTCAATCTAATGAGAGTGGAAGTACAGAAACCCTGCACTTCATCTTCCTCCTTCATTAATTTTCATGCATATAATGTGTATATATTTATAAAATTATACACATGATTTGAAAATAAGCACGAAAATATCCATATTTGCTCTGATACCAATGTAAAACAAAAGTATAACACAGTGGAAAAATATTTCAGATCATACCTTAGGTGTTAGAAGCGAAGAATCTTGTGGGTAAATCACGTGCTTCAATAAATGCGAACAATGAACTCTTAGCAAGGAAGTGATACCACAATATGAGTATCACACACACAAGTCACTGTGCAAAGGCTAGATCGTTCTCATAATGGGAGGGAGTTAGAGAGAGAGTATATAAAAAATGTTATGGGTAAAAAACCACATAACGTATCTGATATGATCGTATTATATAAAATATAAAATCAGATATATAACCATATATATCAATCTATCCATATCAGTTGATATGATAGATTTATGATTATCCAAATAAGTTTTGAATTCAAATTCAAACTTATATGGACAAGGTTCAAAAGGTTCAAAGGGTCATGCCACATAGGTGCCCAATTTCTAACAATCTGAAATTGACATCATGATCTTGTACGTAAGGCCCCTCATTTTTTTTTTTTTTTTGGATCAAATTTTTTTTTTTGGATCGGAGTGAGGCCCCCATGTTGGTAGCTAAGTCTTTTCACTAGCCGTTATAATCGTTAAAAGCCTCAGTTCTCTGTTTTTTTTTCATTGCGTCAATCTGTTGATAACATCTTATGCTCAATCACTCAATCAAAATCCACAAATTCCAGAAGGCCATGAGCTTCTCTAATTCTTCTTCATCTTCTTTATCTTTGATAATCCCACATGCCTCTCATGCTGATCCCCAAGAACTCACAATCATTCGCAGACTCGATTCCTGCAAATCCACCCGAGAACTCAAACAAATCCACTCCTACATCATCAAAACAAAAGCAACTCTTCAAACCCAACTCATATATACTAAATTCATCTCTATATGTGCTATATCTCATAATCATACAGACTTCAGCTACGTCAATGCCATTTTCACCCAAGTTTCCAACCCAAGTATCAGTGTATACAATGCCATTATCAGATGCTTTTCTCGTTGCAAAAACAGTAACGACTCGTTCACCGCGTTGTTGTTTTATCGTGAATTGCTCATGAAAGGCTTTGTTCCTGATAACTACACATATCCTTTTGTTCTCAAGGCATCTGCGTAATCCCGTGCAATTAGGGAAGGCCAGGAGGTTCATGGGCATGTAGTCAAGAATGGGTTGGTGTTAGATTTGTATGTTGTGAACACATTAATGAGAATGTATGCTGTTTGTGGGGTTATTGGAGCTCTCCGCACGTTGTTCGATGAATGTCTTGAAAGAGATTTGGTTTCATGGACGACATTGATTCAGGGGTATGTTAAGATGGGGTTTTGGACGGAAGGCGTCAAGGTGTTTTTTGAAATGTGCGAAGCAAATCTTCAAGCTGATGAAATGACAATGGTAGTTGTCCTTCCTCCATGTGCGAACTTGGGAGATTTAATTTTAGGTTGGAGGATACATGGGTATATGCGTGATCATAACATGAATTTTGATGTCTTTGTTGACAATGCATTGGTTGATATGTACTTCAAATGTGTTGATACTGATCTTGCTCATAAGGTTTTCAATGAGATGCCTGTGAAAAATGTGGTTTCTTGGAATTCGATGATATCAAGATTGGCGCAGCAAGGGGAATTCAAAGAAGCTTTGAATATGTTTAGGAAGATGCAAAGTAGAGGCATGAATCCAGTGATGTCACTATAGTTAGTGTGCTCAACTCATGTTCTAATCTAGGCATGCTTGAGTTGGGGAAATGGGTTCATGCATATGTGGATAGAAATCGTATAAAAGCAGATGGGTATATAGGGAATGCACTAGTAGATATGTATGCAAAGTGTGGAAACATAGAGGAAGCCTTTAAAGTATTCAATGGCATGAAATGCAGAGACGTCTATACATACACGGCTATAATTGTTGGGCTAGCCGTGCATGGTCAAGGAAGGAGAGCATTGGATCTATTCTCTGAGATGCCTAAAATGGGCATAGAACCGGATAGCGTGACATATGTTGGTGTCCTCATGGCATGTAAACGATGCCGACCAGGGATCAGCAGATGTTACTTTTAGGACTCCGCTGGCACCTTATGAGAAATCAAAGTTTTTGGGTTCCGGGAGGAATATGGTCGCAAGGCTGAAACTTAAAAGAATTGACGGAAGGGCACCACCAGGAGTGGAGCCTGCAGCTTAATTTGACTTAACACAGGGAAACTTACCAGGTCCAGACATAGTAAGGATTGACAGACTGAGAGCTCTTTCTTGATTCTATGGGTGGTGGTGCATGGCCGTTCTTAGTTGGTGGCCACACAGGACTTGTGGGCGAAGGCCGTAAGCATTTTTCACAGATGTCAAAAGTATACAACCTTGAACCTCAAACAGAGCAGTATGGTTGCATGGTTGATCTATTGGGTCGTGCAGGGTTGATAAATGAGGCAGAAGAGTTTATCAAAAACATGCCCATTGAACCGGATGCTTTTGTTCAGGGACCATTACTGGGAGCTTGCAAGATCCATGGAAAAGTTGAGCTTGCAGAGATTGTTATGGATAAACTTGTTAGGATAGAGCCTGAAAGAGACGGTGCCTACATACTCATGCCAAACATATATTCCTCTGCAAATAAATGGAGAGATGCAATAAAGTTGAGAAAGGCATTGAAAGAAAGAAACGCAAAAAAGACTCCCGGCTGTAGTTCTATTGAACTGGATGGTGTGGTTCATGAGTTCCCAAGGGGTGACAAGTCACACCAAAAAACTAAAGCGATTTACATATTACTCGATGAAATTACAAGTCTTTTAAAGAATAGTGGGCAATGGGTACTGTGAGAACCCGAATATACAAATCAAATAAATAATTAGATAATAATAATTTTACAAATCTCAAAAATTTTATTGTAAATCTTTAAGTGTAAATTAAATATTATTGGAGGATCTTTTAATTAATTTTAAACTTAAAATAAATTTATGGTGAAAGCATTTAATTTAGAGGCAAGATTTATTATTTTAAAAAAAAAATAGAGGACAAGTTAGTAAGTATATTTTGTTATAATAATAGTTATATTTTATTTAAGTTAATGGGTTAGAAAATAAAATAATATAAAGAGATAATAATTTAGAGCCTTTTGTTTAGATATATAAAGTAACCCTAGGTTGCCTAATGCAATATATAACAACAGCAACAGCAACCACGGGGAGAGAGGTTGAGAGAAAAGAAGAAGAATAAAAAAAGGGTTGCAAACAAGGAAAAACTTTTGAGTGTGTGCTAGGTCTTTATCTTTTTTCTTCTCTTAGTTTTTGTTCTTTATCCTTTCTCTATTATTATTTAGTTCATTGATAAAGAGGTTGTAGGTTTATGTATTTTGTATATATATACTGTTACGAAATCTAAGGAGTTAAATTCATGTATAAATAATGGGTGTAATTCGTAGTCAAAAATTCTGTTAAAAATCAAGAAACCATATCAAACAAATGAATTTTGAACTGAGATTTTTACAGTAGATTAATTACATATCGAATTTCATATCTAAATTTTCTCATAATTTTTGGTAGTCAAAATCCATATAAATTGATGCGTTCAAATCTGTCCAAAAAACTGATTTAAAACAGTAAGTTTGGTAGCATCATTCTCTTTGGGTATAGATCCGAAAATTATCAAATCAGCATCATTAGAACCGGTTAGGAGTCTAGTTTTTTACATTTTTGTCCTTGTATTGATTGCTCATGTATACTAAGAGAACCATTAATTTCTTTAAAGTGCTGCAGAAAACAACACGTTTGGGTGTAATTAATTGTAAATAATTATTTTGAATAGTAAATCAAGTAAAACCAATTGGGTTTGAAACTTAGGATATATTAGTTGATATTTGGAGGGTTTTGGAATTTTTCGAATAACGTAGAGTGCGTTTTGTAATTTTCAAAGTTAGCGAATAGATTGGAAAAACTTGTTTAAAACTCTGTTTTATCTTAAAGTTACTGTTAGTTAAGTTTCGATCGGAACCCATGTCTTGGTTAATTTTAGACCTTGAAGAACATGAACTTAGGTATTATTTAAGAGTAGCGGTGAGTGGGATTGAGCTGTGTTAGTGCGTTTTAGTGTGGAGTACTTAGTTTATTATTCTCTTTAGTATTTTTTAAATTAGTAGTGACGTATAGTCTTCACACTTGGTTCAGGGCACTAGTTGAACTTTTATACTCTATTCGAGGATTACATTATTCCGTTTTCGGGTGAGTAGTTTCATGCTACATATTTTTATAAATGTTCCCCTACCCTGAATTGTTGGAAAATTTAATTGTTGTTTCAGGACTAAACTGTTTTGATAAATTATTATATTATCAATGTAATTAAATTATTTCTGAAACATGTGTGAACTTGGCATACTGTAAACTATTTGTTTTGGTCTTATGTTTATAATGGTGAACTATCATGTTTTGTGAAATTAATGTGTATTGATTATTGGGACCATCTATATATTTTAGCCCAGGGAAATTATTCCACTGTGTGTGGTGACTCTAGCCACTAGGGAACAGATCCGGGTTGGGCCGTGATGACTCTAGTGCTCAACGATTGTAAGGAAAAGACCTAAGTTAGGCTAGGTGACCTTCAATCGGATCATTTTAGAGAATAGGCCCGAGTTGCCACCCTGAGGATGACTCTTAGTTCAGTATTAGATCCAACGGGACTTATAGCCTTGAGAACTGTGTGGCATGTTACTTATTATTTCTTGGTACCCAGAAAATTATTGGTGTTCATGTTGTAATCTGTTTTAAGTGGAAAATGTCATTTATCATGTTCTTGAGAGACATGAGTATTTTGACTATTGAACTGTGGAATCTTCTTTTTGAAACAGATTCTCTTTACCAAACTGTATGCCAATCTAGTTTCTGTGATATATGTCTTATTTTGGAATTGATCCCTGTTTTCAAAACTGCATATACTATCTATGTTGCTACTCACTGAGCCATCAGTTGACTTAGTTGTTTACCATTTCCAAGTGTTAGAAGGACTTAGAGTAGACTTATGGAGTAACGGGGACTCAATTGTATGGACCTCTAGGACGTTCATTTATTTTGTTTTAGACTGTTATGTCAAATTTGTGCATATTTATATTTATTTTTATTGAGGTTCATTTAAGATTATTTTGATATGTGGGTTGTTTATATCCCATAACTTTGGATGGTATTGATTACGGTTGGTTTCGCCGTTTATACTTGTGGCATGACACTGGATTGAGTTTTGGTTATTTATTAATGAACTATTTTATAGTTATTCAATGTGTATGGATTCGTATTTAGGTTTACGTGTGCCTTGGTCTAAGGCACTGTGGGCCACGACCGGTCATACCCGGGTTTGGGGTGTGACAGGTACATACTGATGAACTTTCTTAACGGAACAAAAGATAGCATTTACAATCGATCTCTCTTTTTTTTTTTCTATCTAATAGCATAGTGAGCATCAAGCATTTTGAAGATTCATCATGGTCGGTTAGAGATGAGCAAGAGTTTTCGTAGCCTCTTACTCTCTTCCATTCATTTAGCGGAGGCTGGTGGTCTTTTCGTTTAAGTGTATAACTTAATATGCAGGTCTTGTAATTAATTAATGTCTATATTTATCACAGTCAAACATATCAAAATGTTAAAATCCCCATTTGTTTTAATTTTTTTTTTAGTACATGCAACTCCCATTCAGAAGTTGCTTCATTGTCTTTAAGGTAACAGTAATGTCATGAGATTTAGAATGGATTTTCATATCAAACTTGTAGACTAGTTACCATTTGACTGCTGGGGTGGTTAAATAAAAGACCAAAACTACTTAGAAGAATATTGGTAATATGTTCACAGTTGAGGTATTAAATAAAAGACAATACACGGAAGGACTTCTTATAAAACATAAAATCAGTAATTAAAATCAATCCAAAACAAAGCAGCAAACAAAATCTATGATTTGCAAACAACATTCCAATCTTTGGAAATCCAAAGGAACAGGACCCCTCTAAAAGAAGGGGACACTAGGGCCCAAAAGGATGCCAAAGTATGAACTCTATCCCGCATTGAATCCACGCTGCCAAATCTATCTTCAAAAATCCTTGCGTCCTTTCCATCCAAATAACACAAATTATTTCACCAACCACACCAAGCCACAATGCTTTTGCTCTCCTCCTACCCCCAAATCTCTGAAAGTCAATTAAAAGAACATGAATGCTTGCCCTTGGAGCCACGCATGACAGCTCCACCAAACGAAAAAGTCATGGCACAAGTTCAACACCACAAGGCAATGTAAGAATAGATGATTCAAAAACTCCTCATCTTTCTTATACATGACACATCATTGAGGAGAAAGATAGCAATTAGGCCTCTTTTGCAAGGTGTCATTGATCAAAAGGCCTCCACGAGCCAACAACCACATAAAATTTTTCACCTTAGGCAGTACAAAAAGGTTTCCAAATGTTGTTGTAAAAGGTGAAGGAAGGCACTCTCGGATTGTCAATGATTTTGTCAAAGAAGGATTTATATGTCAAGTCCTCAAAAGAATGAATGGACCAAACCCCGTTTATCACCCCTATTTAGCAACAATGAAAGATGATCCAACTGGGACGGCAAAGAACACTCTGGCCCTTTTTGTAGATATAATTCTACAATAGAACACTCATGGCTCATGTCACATGTCATGACTCCTATGCAAAGTCGTTCATGCCTGCACAAGCCATGATTCAGCTCGAACACATGTTGCTGCTAGTGAGATCTCACAGTGGCATCACTTGAGGAGAAAGAATGAAGTCCCGGGATACCCGTAAAAGTGGACAGGCAAGACATGAGGCTGGAGTTTGTAACTGAATATTGATAAATGTATTTGGGTAGAAAAACTGAAGATCACATATGTGAGATGGTCTCATGAAAACATTCAAAAAGTTGTGATTTAGTTTACCATTTTATCCTTGAAAGTCGAATTTAAATTATATAAATTCTAGCATGATTCTCTTTAAATTTCTGGTCTTTTTATGAAATAAAAATTCCTTAGATTTCAAGACACCAATTGATGTCTGCCTTTTTATAGTTAGCTTTTTCTACACTCTTGCTAAAAACATAAGGTTGTCACAACCCAGATTGGTTTATATATATATACACAAGTTGGAGTTGGTAATTTCCAAATCAGAGATCATCTAGCTACTACTAGTTATTGCAAAAGAGAAATTTGAAACTTCAAAAAACATTTACCTTAAAACAAAACCTTTAATAAACACCCAAAATCACAACATTTACCATTCTCAAAGCTTACATTGCACAAATTAATAACAGCTGGTCAGTTGGCATACCACTGCATTGGAACTCATCATGAGTCCCCACATAATAGTGAGCTATAGAAAAAACAACATACAAGGAGAAGGATTCTCATTACTGGTTGTATAGTATAGTAGACTGTTTAGGATACTTGTACATTTCTGATATTATTTTTGAAGTGACATCAGAAAACAAAACCAAAATAAGAATAACTTTTAAATTCTCCCATTATGTGGGAACAAAATATTTGAATATGTCAACACAAAGCATGCTCTTAAAATAGTAAAATATGATTTAAGAAAAATATATATATATTTGTTTGTTTAGGTTGTTTACTCAGTCAGTACCCTTTTTTTTCTTCTAATTTAATTAACCATGTCCTTGACAATTATTCCAACAACATTTTGAATCTCCATCATAAAATTGCACATGCACATGCCAAGTTCAACCCCAAATATATGGGTGCGTGTGTGAGAGAGAAATTCAAGTAAACAGCCACAGCCGTCATGCTTATGTTATTTCAAACATTAATTACAACCAAATAGATTTGAGATAAGGATGAAGGGAAGAAAAAAAAAGTCTTGGTATAAATAGACCCTTAGAATCTCACATATACCTTGTGTCATTGTCCGATACTCAACCTTTGCAGAAGATCTAGAAACAATCACCTGTTTCTTGCTTTTCCATGATATAAGATGATCACCATAGAAAGTACAGAAACTAGACGTGGAACACCGATCAGTTCTACATCTTGCAAAGTTAGCATCGATAAAATAGAAGAGCCCGAATTGAGAACCAGTTGTGAAGAATAGTCCCAATCCAAGAGAAGTCGTCAGATACCACAAAATGTGGTGAATAGCATCAAGATGCTCTAACAAGGTACCTGCATAAATTGACTCACAACACTAACCGCAAATGTCAAATCAGGTCTAGTGTTGGTCAAATAAATGAGATGGCCAACAAGACACTAATTCATTCATATGTGAGTCATTTAATTAGAATTTTCATTCGTAAAGGAAACATATTGGTAAGAGGGTTCCCACATAAGGGAGAGTGAATTGAAAAGCTCAACTTTCTTGAGTGAACAAATCTTCTGTACTGCCCCCTATAAGTAAAGGTCGAAGCTTGCTGGGTTGGTTGGGTAGGAATTGGAAGGGAGAGAATTAGGGAAACTTAGGAATAGCAAGTTGTGCCCATTATACTCTTGAAAGCCTAATCTACTAAAATTAGAGGATTTTGGGTTTAAGAGTTTTCATTGGTTCAAAATAAATTTAAATCAACATAGCAAAATTTGGTTACTAGCTAATTAGGTGTGCTAAACTTTGTGCAAAATCAAAGTGCTCTAAGGTCATACCATAAGGAGATAAAGTGGATTTTATCCTAAAATATATATACCTTTTCTTTGAAGAGTTGGCAATCTAAACATCATTGCTAATAGTCATCGTCATTGTCATTATCATTGGCCATCTCTAACTCCATTGCCATCCCTATTGCCATAGCCTATGTCGTAATCTATGCAATAATTAAAGAAAAAGTAATGTTAACATTTCACAATGTTTTTGAAGTAAAAATGTCACGCCCCAAACGCCGTGACAACAGCGCACACTCATCTAAATGAGCATGCAAGGCTAGGAGTCCAATCAAATAAACCAACAATATAAAATACTCAAATTGGTCTTTAATTATTATAATGCCAAAATCCATAAATAATAAACAATCCTTGTCATATGAAATTATCCACCAAGTCCACTAATATAATCCATTAACAAACTAGTAACCCAAAGTAAAAACCCGCGCAGCTCTACTCCTTAGGATCTGAAAATAACAAAATAAGGGTAAGCTAGACAGCCCAACAAATAACCAACGAACACTGCTAACTGGATCAAGTGTACAAAAAAAAAAAAATAGTCGAAAACCAATAAATATATTTTTGTTGTAGTTCAACAAATGAACCAATATTTTGTAAGATGGTTTCATAACTGAAAATAAACAATGTAGCTGTTAAAATATGTTAGTATTATATGTTAGTGATGTTAGTATTCTATGTTAGTATTGCTAGTGTTATCATTATGTTTAGTACAGCATTATGTTAGCTTTAATAATTATCCTTGCTTTATGCTTTCGGTGCCTCAATTGACACCCAATGTTGGCTTTCTCCTCTCTATAAAGAGAGTGTAAATCTCTTTGTAAATATACAGAATATCAAACAATAACATCAATCAATAAATATATAAATTCTTACTGTAGCAATACAATTTAATTGAAAAGACAATGAGATAATTCAAAGTAGTTTTGTTGTTCAAATCGATGGTTCGATATTCAGACAGTTCAATGATTCGATTCACAAAACTCAAGTCTTTGTGACTATGGTTACTTAGCTCATGACAAAGCCCAAAACCACACATAGGCCGGTGGTAAATCCCTAAAAGAAACTAGTTTCTACGCCAATAAATAACCCCCATTGGCTAGGGTCCAAATCATAGTCAGACTAGAGTGATATTCAAAATTTAAACAATAAACAACTTGTAAATAAAATATTCACTATTTTCATAATAAAATTCGATGTTATTTTATACCTGACCCATATTTTATTTTAAGAGTACAGAACAGTTATAAATAAACATTTATAATTTCAAACGATTCAATGGAAATAAAAATGAACCAATAGTAACAGACGATTACTTACCTCAAATAGCTAAAATAATATTCCACCACACTAACTCCAAACACCCAGCTCCACCATTTCAATCACACAAACCTAATAAATAGAACCTCAAACAAATTAATATTTTGATGTCTTTCACACATCAACAAGAACCCAATATATATATGCAGTGCTTAAAATCCAAGAGACACCAAATCAATCCACCCAATTTAATAGCCAAACACACCTTACCCAATGTACAAAACTCAAATGTCAAACCACACCCACACAAATTGCTCCACTGTTTCTACTCTTTACCTGACTACACTCCACACATTGCACCATTCACCAAGCTCTCAAAATCAAGTAGGCACATACAGGTTTACATAAAGTTTCGATTGTTTTTTATTTATCAATAGAAAATTAATAACTAGTGATACAAGAAGGATCTTACCTCAGTCAATGGTTGTATCAGAATATCCCCAACGTACTGCCCTCAATTCCTATCACAGCCTCACTTGAACCATCTGTAAAATTATGATACAACAACATAACATGAAAACTCCCTCTTTTTTTTTCTTTTTTTTTAAAGGGTTGATAACCTAATTGTTAAAATTACTAAATTACCCATACAATTTATTTTAATTATTAATCTATCCAAAAATAATTCTATGCATAACTTGGTTTTTACAAAAAAGCAGTTGTTTGTAAAATAATAATCTTAGCCATGCAAACTACAATGTCAATAGTAATCGTCTATTGTTTATCATTGATAAACTACTAAGAACATATACCTGAGATAATGATGAAAAAAAACATCACATTAGTAACAATCATTTCTCCAATAATTGTGTATTCTCATATCTTTAAAAAAAAAAATAGGCGTAGACAAATGCTGGTGGCGTGGAACATATCTTAAGGATATAAATATGCTATTAATTCTTAAATACACAGCTCACTATTACAAAAATCAGTTGTTCCTTAAGGATATTGTTTCCTAATGATAGGTAGCTCTTGGAGACACCATGGTTGCTAACGAGGCAGATGTTGTATGTACTACCTTATTTCACCCTTTTGACTGGTTCTAGCCTCATAAAAGGTCTCTGTAATTTGCATTTTGTGTTAATTTGATCTATGTAATTCTAATTGTTATCAATTTTACCCCTTCATTCTTCACATTGTGTCAATTCAACCCAATTGACAACATCCGTTAAGAAATTGTAATTTATACATAAATCAATGGCAAAATAATTCATTCAAAAGAAATGGATCAATTCAAATTAGATGTCAACCCCTCAATCACTTTGGAGAACGTGAATGAACTATTTTTTCTCTTGATTTTAGTCAATTTTCTAATAGGGCGTTATCAATTAGCCTAAATTGACACAACGTGGAAAAAAAATAAATAAATTAAGAGTGAAATTGATTTAATTAGAACAAGAAGGACTAAATTGACCATGAAATAAAGTACAAGAATTACGAGTGCAAATTGCCCATAATATATATATATTTTTTGATAACCCAGGACACAACCGCACTCAAACTTGGGGATAATAAGATGCACCACTCCTTTATCAACAACAACAACAATAACAACAACAACCAAAAAAAAAAAAAGGAAAGAAGAAGAACATCACTCCTCATTACCAGGTGGAAAGCAAGAGGCTTGATTTTGCCAAGAGTTGAACTAGAAACATAGAGGCTATAACCCTCAAGTCTTACGAACAAAATTATTTTGAAAGTTAACATTATTAGCAATGCTACTAAAGTCGAAAAGGTATGAGCAATTCATTCTAACATAATTTGTGGGCCAATTCATTCACTGTGGCTCATGTGACACATAAGTGGGCTTCGGCCAATAAGTCAGCCTAAGATATCTTTCTTTGTATTAATATCATTTTTAGGATTACCTCAATTGTCAATTTACAAACTTATGTGCACCTAATTGTAATTATCCCTATAGTTAACCATGTTCATGAGTAATGTGGCAATTGTCATATAGTCATGGTCTGTAGTCATTTACCATGACTACCATTTTCTTAGTTGTAAGATGTAAAACAGCTAAAAAATTGATCGGTGAAGTTGTCTTCTTGAGTTTGTTGAAAACTTGGAAATCTATAATTGGAGTTTTACCTGGAAATTTGGGAGAAGACGGTAATGGCATTCATCGGCTGGAATTTGAGTATCATTTATGTTAGGGCCGAAACACACAAGACTTGGAAGATCATGAAGTTCGACAAGGCGAAATTGGGGCAAATGGATTTCTTCTTCTTCGTTTTCCCTGGTGACAATCTTTTCTACCTTCTTGCAATGTCTAATTATTAGATCTTTTAGATTCACGAGGACTTTGGCCATGGAAATTGTGAATATATATCTCAAGTTGTCACAATTCTTCACTTTTAGATAACTTAGATTTCTGAAACAATGAGTTTGTTGGGGAAAACAATTCCATATATGTGTCAGCTTGGGCAAATACTTCACTTCCAATTTGCTTAACTGAGTGATTGATGTTCCTTCGTCACCAACACCAACACATACCTCCTCTTTGAGGTCAAATATCATTTCCAAGGAATCACACCACCATACCTTTAGCTCTTCAACTTCGTGTAATCTTTGTATTAAATTAGACGAAACAATACTTAATAATGTCCTACAGCACTGGACCCACATGACTCTTACTTTGTGAAGGCACCCGACACCAAGTTGATTGTGCCATATCTCAGTTGGCTCATCTATTCCCGTGACAGTAAGTTCCCCCTTGCTGCTTAAACTAAACTGCAATTGCAATCACTTGTGTTAGTAACATATTTACAAATTACTGAATAAAACAAACCGACTTTAAAACCACACCTTAACTAAGACCAATGTGGCAATGAAATAAAATAAAACAAAACTCATATTGTGATATGTTCAACAAAATTCAAAACCATTGGAAATAATAAAAGTTGAAAAATTATGAATCACTGAATAAGACAAACATGACTTTAAAACCACATGTTAACTTAGACCAATGTGGCAATAAAATAAAACAAATAAAACTCATATTGTGATATGTGCAACAAAAATCGAAACCATTGGAAATAATAAAAGATGAAAAACGTAAACATACAGAAGCTCCATTTACACTATTAACCCCTTGTACAGGTCTCTAGTAAATACTAGAATAATGTAAGAATACCAACAATGGATACGATCTCCACCATATAATTGAATTAAATGAATATGTAGTTTGATATTTCATGAAATCTCTGCCAACCTACATGTCCTTAACTAGAAAATCAACAAATTTACTTTGGCATATTTGGTGAAAACCTAATAATATGATGTTGAAATATTTCTTCTACTATTTTTTCTTCAACATTTTTCTTTTTCTTGGTAGCTGTCCATGTTAAAAATAATCAGAAAATAAATAATTTTGTATAACAATAACGAAAATTATTTATAGAGGTGCAATGCAAATACATAAAATATGATCGTAACAAATATTTATCAACAAAGGCGTGTCAATCGCTATTCTAAGGAGTAGGCTCTGCCCCCACGGAGTGCGTCACCTGGTTCACCAAGTTAATGATGTCTTATCCTCCAAGATTCAGCTATTGCTTTCCCACAAACGTGCACAAGCAATGTAGAGGCATAAAAAATAGCTCGTTTCATTATTATAAAAATCAAATAAAATAATATATACATAGGAAAATATTTATGATCTTTGAAATGGCCAGTTGATGGAAGAATAGTATAGAATTGATAAAATATTAGAATTTTTTTTGGGATTTCATGTCTCCTATTAGAATTATACACACACACACACACACACATATATATATATATAGATGTTCTTTTAACAAAAGCTATTTGTAACAATACAAGCGAAAACATGTTCAATGTGATTTTAATATTTATAGAAAGGTTTCACACCAATTTGGACCCAACGGTTAAAGCATTCAAATTCAATGTCCACTTGATACACAACATGGGCAATCGGTTATAAAGAATAAATAGGTGATGAATACATAATATAATATTATAGAGTGAATTATACTAACGGTCCTATAGCTTGGGGCTTGTGTCACTTTGGTCCCTGACTTTTAAATTGTGACGCATTTGATCCTAACTTTTGAATCTTGTTCCAAATAAGGACAATTGAAGATACCATTACTTAATTTCAAAGGCAAAATTGTCAATTTGATAAAATATAAACTAACTTGACAAAATAAATGTCAAAAAAATATTTTTAAATTTTTAAAAATTATTTCTCTCCACCAAAAATAAAATTATATAAAATTGATAAATCTTTTAGACATTTATTTATTTATTTATTTTACTAAATATTTTGCCCTTGAAATTAAGCAATGGTATCTTCAATTTTTCTTATTTGAAATAAGATTTAAAATGGAGGGTCAAATGTGTCACAATTGAAAAGTCATGACCAAAGTGACATGAGTCCCAAACTATACGGACTGTTAGGGTAATTGGCCCAATATTAAATCATATAATTAATGAAACTATTTGAAACCAAACAGATTTGTATTTTGAAATATGTCTGCAATTCTAACAGTTCACATAACAAACAATATCACACACAATGAAAGAGAGAGCTTGCCGGTTTGGAGAATTTACTCTATTTTATATCTGGGTATGAAGATTGCCGACTAGCATTACTCTAATTAAACTGAACTCAACACAATCAATTTTAACCCCGTTTTATTTGGGAATTGGACACAATTGCCAAACAAAAAAAACAATGATATATAAATAGAAAAAGTATATGAAATTTTTATATAGAATGATGTGGTTGTATCAGTTTTATCATTTTTGAACAGTGTACCTATTAAGATAGAGTCATGCTAGGGATCCCAAATATTCTACCAAATCTCTCACATAGGTGTGGGACCCACACACATGCGGATTTGTGTGAGTTTCACCCCATGTAAGAGGTTTGGTAGAATATTTAGTAGAATATTTGAGATACATAGCATTTCTCATTAAGATAACATTTAATTAAAAAATGTCATCATCATCATTACAGTGAAAAATTTTATGTAAAATCTTGGACAATTGGTAATAAATAGCTTACTCTACGATTTTGTTTACCGAAAAATTCTTTCCCTTCAACATGTAGACGTTCATCCTTAGTTCAATGGATCTTGAAAACAGTTTCTTTCAAAGAATGGATTATTAATGGTGAATGTCATAAGTTTAAGAAAACTAATTTACCTTTCCATCCAAGAAATGGTGTTGAGCTGAGTTAAAAAATTCCTCTTTTTGAACATTGCTCCTCCGTAACTCTTGCAGGCATTGGAATGCTGAAGGGAGTTCCTTCAAGTTGGGACAATTGATTACTTTCACGATCTTCAACAATGTTCCTTCAAACGTGGAAGCCTGAAGGCACAAACTCCTAAGGTTTGGCAGATCACAGAGTTTGAGACTCCTTAGTTGAGGGAATATGCAAATATTTGTTGTGACATCATAACCTACTTTTGGTTCCTTATCAATGATCACTTCCATCACACCACATTCAATTACCTCTATTTCCTGTAGTTTCCCCAGAAGTTTGGCTAGAGAAGCTGAGAATATATATCTCAAACTGCCACAACCTTTAATTAATAGGGATGTTAGGTTTTGTAAACCTTGAATTCCTGGTAAATTGTCTTTCCAAACATGTGTCAACTTTGGTAGATGTCGTAGGTTTATATTTGTTAATGAATGCAATAGTGTATCTGGATGGCCTTCCCTAGTAATTAGTCCTTCAAGGTCAAATAATACTTTCACAGATCGACACTGTTTCACTTCAAGTAGTTCAAGACTTTGCATGCCCTTAATCAAATTAGATGGAAAAAGAATATTCAAAAACCCATGACACAATTGAACTCTGATCTCTCTTAGTTTAGCTTGAAGTTCGTCAGGCCATATCTCTATTAGATTATCCATTGCAGTGACAGACAACTTCTCAAGGGAAGTCAATTTAACCTGTAAAGTTGATTTCGCAAGGTTAAAAGCATAATTAAACACACCAAACTTTATTTCCATTTAATATTTAAATTAATATACTTCAAAGTTAAATAATTAAACTTCAATATTTCTTAAAAAAATTTGAACATTCAAATTTAACTATGCATTACTTAAAGTTTCTAATTTCAAATTGTTATAAGAAACAAGATAATAATCATAGGAAATGAGATACGTATAACTGTACAAGTAATAACATTAATGGGTAAATAAGATTTCAACACCTAACATCAAAGAAGTAAATGTGAGACAAACTCTTATCCAACGAGAGCATGTAATTGAAATTTGGATGTAATTGAGGGATCAATAAAGTAGAGCCTACATTGCTGGTCATTACTATTACTATTATCAATCATCATAGTGAGTTAATTATCGAAGAAGTAAACCATTGGCCAATAAAAGAATAATCTTCTTCTTTTTTTCTTAATGTAAGAACAATCCTATCGTTAAACTTGCTAACTATACCTTTTCTTTTCTTTCTCCACTTTTTCTTCATGAGGAGAGACTTACAACCCTTTTTTTCTTTTTTTGATCAGCAAAAGAGAATTCATTGATGAAGAAAACAATGTATAAGTACATAAGGGAGTACAAGTAACCCTAACCAAAGACCACATCAATGCTAGATAAGATCATTCCAACTAGGTTGGAACCATCTACCTAGCCAATCATGTGCAAAGTCTCAGGAAGAGAGCAGGAGAAGAAAAAAAGAAAAGAAAAGAAAACACCACAGATGGCAAGATGCTATCTGAGGAGCTGAAGAGACAAAGGAAAGTTAAGCATTGATTCTCATATTCTTGACACCATCCAGGGAGGAGAAGAAATCATTGATTTGCGTACTCTGTGATATTAGCAAAACTTTTCTCCCAAAAGGAGATTCTGACTTTCACCAGTTCCACAAGCTCATCCCAATGGTTTTCCTTCAGATTCTGGACTTACTACCTAAATCAAAATTAGATGGCAGAAATCATACTAAACTCAAAATGTCTGTCGAGTTTGAGTTCACATAAAGACTGATCAAGAAAACAAATCAAATATTGACTGTCTGTTTGTTTGTGTGTACATGTGTATACGTTACGACATGAGAAAAATCAAACAAAAGCAGCACATGGTTAATTTTTTGCTGTCTTGTGAGGTTTGAAAGGATTTAAGAATGGCTTAGGCTTTAAGGATTGAAAAGAAACAAGTTAAATTTAGAACAGGGCGTATGAAATCACAAAAAATAAAATAAAAAAGAAAAGGAAAAAAGTGTAGATGAAATTATTAGATGGTAGCCCAAGATGAAATTATTCCATTCCACCAAGTCAAACACTTTCCCAAACATTAAATTTGCAATAAAAAAAAGACATTAAATTTAAAATTTAAAATAGTTGCAAAATTTGTGAAAATTATGTAAATTTATTTAATTTAACTGAGCATAATGACAATGCAAAATGGCAGGAAAAAAAATTTCATTTGGCCAATTTCACTTGATTAAGGCACTAGAATTAGTTTGGTTTAATTTGATAAAATAGTTACAAAATTCCAATTATATCCCTTGTAGAGTCAAAATATAAAAGAACTTGTAAACCAAACATACGGCATTCATTGTTTTTGAAATTAAAAAATTACGACTTCAAAAATGAGGAACATCTCCCTTTATCTATGAAGCACCAACACGTCCCCAGGGCCTGCGTATGAGTGTCGGACACAGACACGCGTCGGACACGCGTCCGACAATCTCGTTAACGTGTCCCTTTTTTTTTATAATTTTTCTAGTCGGACATGCCGTGGACAAGCGATGACACTTTCCGGACACACGCAACGTGGAACAAAGAAGCCCTAACCTGTTGGAGAGGAGAGAGAGAGAAAGAGATCGAGGGAGAGATCGATTGAAGGAAGAAGCCCTAACCTGTTCAAAAGAGATCAATCGAAGAAGCCCAAGAAGCACTGAGGTATTCTTCTTCGTCTTCTCTGTTCGTCTTCTTCTTTTCGTCTTCTCTATCCTTCGTCTTCTTTCTTCTTCTTCTTTTCTTCATTTTCTTCTTCTCCTCCGTATTCTGTTTCGCCTCCGTTTTCTCTTTCTTCTCTTCGTCTTCTCTGATGTTTTCTCTCCCTTTTCTGATTTCACCTCTCCCTTTCTGATTTCACCTCTCCCCTCTTTCATTTCTCTTTATACACTTTCCCAAACATTAAATTTGCAATAAAAAAAAGACATTAAATTTAAAATTTAAAATAGTTGCAAAATTTGTGAAAATTATGTAAATTTATTTAATTTAACTGAGCATAATGACAATGCAAAATGGCAGGAAGAAAAATTTCATTTGGCCAATTTCACTTGATTAAGGCACTAGAATTAGTTTGATTTAATTTGATAAAATAGTTACAAAATTCCAATTATATCCCTTGTAGAGTCAAAATATAAAAGAACTTGTAAACCAAACATACGGCATTCATTGTTTTTGAAATTAAAAAATTACGACTTCAAAAATGAGGAACATCTCCCTTTATCTATGAAGCACCAACACGTCCCCAGGGCCTGCGTATGAGTGTCGGACACAGACACGCGTCGGACACGCGTCCGACAATCTCGTTAACGTGTCCCTTTTTTTTTATAATTTTTCTAGTCGGACATGCCGTGGACAAGCGATGACACTTTCCGGACACACGCAACGTGGAACAAAGAAGCCCTAACCTGTTGGAGAGGAGAGAGAGAGAAAGAGATCGAGGGAGAGATCGATTGAAGGAAGAAGCCCTAACCTGTTCAAAAGAGATCAATCGAAGAAGCCCAAGAAGCACTGAGGTATTCTTCTTCGTCTTCTCTGTTCTTCTTCTTCTTTTCGTCTTCTCTATCCTTCGTCTTCTTTCTTCTTCTTCTTTTCTTCATTTTCTTCTTCTCCTCCGTATTCTGTTTTGCCTCCGTTTTCTCTTTCTTCTCTTCGTCTTCTCTAATGTTTTCTCTCCCTTTTCTGATTTCACCTCTCCCCTCTTTCATTTCTCTTTATTTATTTATTTATTTTTTTTCCTATTTCTCTCTCCTCCTTTATTTTCCTGATTTCTCCCCTCCCTTTTTTTTATTTTTTCTTTTATCCTTATTTTTGTTAAACCTAGAATTCATAGAATAAATTATTTTATTTAAAAAACTCATTTTTATTAAAAAAATTAAGGAAATATATTTATTAATTTTATTATTATTGTAATCGTATAAGAACCAACGATTTTTTTAAAAATTTTAGACATATAATAAATAGCTAATTATATATATTAAATGTGTCCCCAGCGTATCGTGTCCCCCATTTTTAAAAAATTTACGTATTCGTGTCGTGTCCCGTGTCCATGTACATGCATCATAGCCCTTTATATATCTAGATGAGAAGAAATCACATTTAAAAAAAAAAAAAGTAATAAATAAATAAATATATACATATAAAGTTAGCAGGTAACGGACTAAGCTTATGGCTATTCCCCTTTATGGTTGAATGATTCTTTAAGGGTTCACGACTATGCTTTATTTTTTTAACCCTTCAAGGTAATTAATAGACAATGATTAATAATTTTAAAGTAAAGGATGTTGTAGAGATGTGGATCATGCATTGTGTTAATATTTTTGTACAAGAAAGATTGTTTCTTGCTAAAGGCAATGAATGATTATTTCTTCCTTATTATGGGTCTTTGGGGTTGCAAGTATGTACTATTTGACTTTTTTAAATGATTGATTGTACCGTTTGACGTAATTTACTTGATATTGTAAAAATATAATATTTTCCACCAATATATATATATATATCTTGCCTACATGTGGTCTTTCTTAGTTGTTCCTTTCCTCTCTGTCAGGGTCTTCTTGTATTATGTAGTTAGTGGTGTGCTTGTGGGTATGTATTGTTCACCATTCTTAAATGGTTTAATTGTCCAATTTGACATAATTGTCTTGATATTTGTAAAATTCAATATTCCATTATCAATTGATAAAAATAAATAAATAAGATCCTTTGGGACACGTTAGTTTGCCCAGTGATCCATGTAGCTATCCCCTGGGAAAGTGAGAAAGTCAGAGGTTCAAGTCAATGGAGTGACTGCGGCCTTTCATTGTAAATTTGTAATCTTACTAACCCACTAACAACCTATCGTTTATGCCAAAACAAAAAAAGAACAAATTTCAAATAACTATGTTAATCAAGTTTCAAATTCATTTATCAAACTCTGAATTCATTCTTAAAATCAAGATATAAAATACTACATTAAGCTAAGAGTTATATTCTGAAAATGAGTGGTGTCAAGGTCATACCGTAAAATAGCAATTTAAAATTCCACCAAGTAGAATTCTAGTAAAACAAAGACCCTTGTAAAAATCTCTATCGCACAACTACATGAACCTCCTTTTAAGGTTATGTTTGGATCATGAATTTAGAAAATGATTTATAGAGTGAAAAAAAAAAAAAAAAAGAAGAGGGATCCAAATCCAACAATCAAACATAGCCTAAGTGCTTTAATAGAATATTAATAATCAAGCATCTTATATATATATATATATATATATTGTCTTAACGTCAAATCCCTCCATTTCAAATTCTTCCATCCCAACATAACCCTAATGTTTTAAATAATTTGGTCAAAGTTCACAAAATTACAACCTGAACTTCAACTAAGCTTTTAATCAAAATACTAAGCATACTAACACGATGAACATACAAAACTTTAAGGTGGCCATTTATTCCAGGATATACTAATTTCAGGTTTAGTTTGATATTCTTATCTTCCATCTAAACATATTCAATTCAAAATATATTATATTCACGTTTATACATTGATACATCAAATGCAATTATGCAAAAAATCATTCATACACGTTATAGCCCAAAAGTTGCACAGAAAATTGGAAAACGAGGTGCTCTTAAATAATCAAAGAAAGCATACCTTGTTGTAAAAGAGCGACTGAATGTAGGCAAAAGCAGAAGCAGAAGCGGAAGAAGGGCAGAGACTATTGAGCTTTGGTATTTCCTCGAGATCCAAATACTCCAATTTTGGTAGTTCAATTGCATTCATGGCTTTGCCGAATGCTGTAAAACTTGGCAGTTTCCGAAGAACCATACTTTTTAGTTTAGGAAATTCGACTTTATCTGTTGTTGCCACTGCTATATCGCGATCTCCTCCTTCATTCGAAACAATTACTTCCATCATACAACATTCATATATCTCAATTTTCTCCAGATGCATAAGATTTTTAGCCATAGAAAGTGAGAACACACTTTCCAGTTTATCACAACGATACAAATATACAAATCTCAATTTGCCAAGCCATTTAAGTGGAGGGGAACCCATCCACAAATGTGTCAGTTCAGGAAAAAAATTTTGTAGCTGGCCACGACAAATAATCCCTTTGAAATTATTTAGTCTAGAAAGACGTATATTCTCTAACACAGGGAAAGGGAACGCTCTCTGCAAAACCACCTCATCTGGTTTGTTGATAAGGTATTCCAAATCATCACAATATGACAGTGACAAATTCATCAAGTTTTCAAAACCATCTTTGTCTAAATCACTGAGAATATCCTTCAAACCCTTAATTTGCGTTAAGGCCAGAATTTTAGTGCTCTTCAATAGCATCTTAAGGTTACTATCCATAAGATCAGTCACATGCAGTGAACTGAGATTCAACTTATTCGGTAACAGATAATAAGGCCGGTCCATGATGGCATGAGATGGGTCAACTCTTATATTGAACTTTTTCACCTTCTCAATGACCCAATCTCTTGGCAAGGATTTAATATTTAATAGACCAATATCCAAAGCCACCAAATTGGACAAGGATGCAAGCTCAGCGATGATTGCAGTTGTTCTTTCCATACTTTCTTCTGTTCCAGCTTCACCAAATCTTCTAAAGCTGTACCCAATATACAGCTCTTGTAGCATTGATAAACTTGACAAAACACCTGGGTAAATCCTTTCCACTATGCAATTTAACAAATCAAGTACCTTCAAGTGAGCAAGGTGACCTATTATTTCTTTTGGCAATTCCTTGATACAAGAGTTGGTAAATCTCAAAATTTCCAGATTCTCTAATGCTCCGATTACAGAGACATCATCATCAATAAGTCCGCAACGAAAAAGTGACAAGGTTCGGAGGTTGGTCAAATTTCGGAGTGATGTGGGCAGTGATCCGTATATATTGGACAAAGCTAGCACTCTGAGTTCTTTCATCCCTTGGTAGAAACTATCTGGGGTCTCTTGCACTTTGACCTCCTCCATCCTTTTGTGGAAAAAAAATGAGAATAATGATGGTAATCCAGCATTGCAATCTAGATTTAGAAGCTGGAGTTTTGGAAATTCTAAACCAGGAAGCCCATGCATACCATTAAGTTTTAATGAGATTACAGCGTAATTTTTTAGTCGATCTTTCTCCGGCCAATCTTCCAATGCTTTGTCACATCTCACCATAAACGAATGCTCCTCCCTAGATGCAATAGATATAGCCACATCGCGTATGATATCATGTATTTTCACAGACTCTGTTCTCTCACTATCTATTAATAGATAGCATTTTTTGAGGTAATCAATAACGTCATGTACTGTGTCTCTTGCTTCGCCTATTGTATCAGTGCCCTCAAACAATTCAAGCCCAATCCCATATCTAACAAGATCTTCTATTGGAATATCAAAATCTTCAGGATATAAGGAACAAAACAAAAATAATTTTTGGGCTTCCTTACTTTCTAAGTAGTTGTAACTCAACTCCAGGGACTTAAATACATTTTCATCTACTCCCCTAATGTTTTTGACGATGGACTTTTGTAATTGACAAAGAGCGGAATCCCATGAAGACTGAACTTTAGCTCTAAGTGCCCTTCCAACGGTAACAATAGCAATCGGTAGGCCTCCACATTCATTCGCAACTGCTATCTGCGTGCAATGTAAATCAGTCGTAGGACTTGGGTCATTAGAAATTCCAGCTATCTCCTTGAAGAGATTCCATGCTTCTTCTTTAGGTAAGACTTCAACTGTAAATTTCTGTTGAGCTCCCATATCATCACATACATAATCAAATCTTGAAGTCAGCAAAATTTTACAGCCTTTGTGATCATCCCCAAATGGAATTCCTATGTCATTTAATTCAATACTCTTCCAAACATCATCCAATATCACAAGAATTCTGTTAATGGTCTTTAGTCTTGCACATAGTCGGCGTGATCTTCCAAGTTCAGTCTCCTCCTCAAGTTTGAACTGCAACAGAGCGACTTCTAGATTGCGTCTGAATCCGTTCGAAGCCAAGTACTTCGGATCTCTAGATTCGTGGGTCCGAATCCTTTCGAGTCCGAGTGCCTCGGATCTCTAGGCTTGCCTAATACCCTTTCGAGTTCCGGGCCTGAGTAAGTCTCTAGGTTCGTGGATCCGAACCCTTTCGAGGCTTAGAGCGATTCAATCCGTTTGATGGCGATAAATCTGGGCCCACCGATTCTTGGACTTGCGATAAATTCGGGCCCACTAATCTTGGGCTATTGGGCCTAAATAATTTAGTGGGCTAAAATTAGCCCCTCTTACACTTACAAAAAGTTATAAACTGTATTATTAAACTGAACCAAACATATTAAAATAATTTAAATTAAATTAAAAACTAAAATAAATTAAAAAAAAACCCTACCAACCAATATAATCGAGGAAGCCCATCCCTAAAACAAAAGTTTTCAAAGTCAAATACCTTGCTCCTCAAGAATGATTCTGAAACATTCTCTGTATCTTCAAACTGTTTGTCCACTTAAAAAACACCAAAATTTAAAACAAGAAAACTTAGAAGAATATTGTAAACTCACATAATAGTATGAAAGCTAAGTTATTAGTGTGTTTTTTTTTTTTTTTTTTGGCAAAAAGAATGGTTGAGTTGAATATAGAGAATTATAATAAAATTGGACAAAGAGAGTTTTGTACTAGAATAGAAATAGAAATGAAGAAAGTGAGCTTGGTAAAATGATAACAGAATGCAGAAAATACTAAATTGTTCAACACAAAAGTTATAATAGAGTTGCAGAGGAGGAGATTACAAAGCTTTCTAAAACCAAAAGGGAATACATAGATTTTTTTTATTTTTTATTTTTTTTGGCAAGCAAAGATGAAACAGAGAGAATAATAATAATAATAATAATTGAAGTGGAAATGAAGAAAGAAAAACCCTTGAAATTTTCCCTTGTCAACTTGAAGAGCAAAGCTTTTAACAAACAGAAAAAGAGCAATAAGGAAATCGAATAGAAGGGTATTCAAAGCGAAACAATTAGGGTTTGAGAAAAGGCATCCCAAGCAGCCTATATTTGTGCGGATTACTGGTTTGACTGGAAAATTGAAGTAGTTGGAGTAGGTAATTGTAAGATTAAAGACAAGTGATATGGTCTAACAGTGCTCTGGATTGTGAAGATCGGTCGCTACAACAACCAGGCTACAAATTCAATTGGAACAATCTTATCTCTTTACACCTTATCTTCTTATTATATTTTTAAAAAATAATTAAAATTCTCATTATAATGCTAAAACTAATCCTAAATTAAACTATTTTCCAAAACTCCTGCAACTATTTTTAAAATTCTCATTGAATTATTTCGATATTATATTACTGAACAAATTACATTTATCCAATTATCTATTATCGCACATTTACAAATTCATTTTTCTTACAACATTTTTTTTTTTTTAAATTTATGATTAGGATGTTCGGTTATATATTGCTAAATAATTTGAATAATTCTGGTATAACGTTTCCAAACAAATTAGATTTGTCCAATTATCTATTACCCACGTTTACAAATTCTCTTTCCTTAAAGTATCAAGTATCCATAAAAATATAAAATGTACAAACATCCATAAAAACATTCACAAAATTTGTCAACACAAATATCTTTAAATTTGTTAATACAAACATCTATAAAATACATTGAGATGTTATCACAATAATAGTTTCAATAGTTACTATATTGAGGTTGACAAACGTACCACTACAAAAAAAATAAATAAATAAAATAAAATAAAATTGGTGACGTTTTTTAGCAACCAAACAAAAATTTAGTTGCCAAAGATACATAATTGGCAACGGAATATTTATGGTCTCTAAAAACTAAACTTTTGGCAACAAATTTAAATTTTTGGTCGTTATTGAGTTTGGCGCCAAGTGAAAATTCTATGAGAGAGCACTAAAAAATTTTCGACGACCAAGTTAATTTATGTTACAAAAATTTTAGTCGCCGATTGTATTTGTTTGGCGACAGACATTATTTAGTCGTCGAAAATCTAAATGACAACCCAATTAATTTGGTCGCCAATAAATTATTCGCCTTTGTCCTAATTTTTTATTACCAAAAATAGTTGACTGAACATTTTGAGTGAATAAAAAAACAATTGACCATTATTTCACCATCTCATTTTCTCACTCCATTAGAAACGTCCCGGCAGAGCAATGTTGGAGACCCCCAGTTGGGACAGACCCCCACCACCCCCCACATACACGTGGAGGGTAGGAAGAGGATGAAAAAAAAAAAAACTTGGGCCAATCAGCACCCAGTAAGGGGTGCTGGGGGTCTCCCTCAGTGGGGGTCCCCCCCATTTTCCCAGCACAGCACATGTATATGCTCTTCTTCTTCTCTCTCTCTCTCTCTCCTTCTCCCTCTCCCTCTTGCTCTCTTGTGTCACCCTTGCTCTACCATTGTTGTGACCTCTTTCTATAATGAGAAACAAAAGCAAAAGCAAAATCAAAAGCCCCATCACTATTTCGAGCCATCGAATCACCTTCCTCTAAATCCCTCCAATGCGTCCATTAATCGCTTACTCTGTAGTTGTTCCAGTCGACAACACGACCCAATTGACTTGTCGAAGTATCGAGAAGCTTTTGCGAAGAGGATGGCCACGGCTAGTCTCAAACCTCATCACTGTATCAGTCTCTCTCTTCATACTCTCTCTTCTATTCGATTGAGTCTTTTTTTTCCACAAATATTTGGATGTGTTGAGTTTATTTGTTTTCATTTTCTTGGGTGAATTGGTTTCTGGACTGTTAAATTTCACCAATCGAAACCAATTAGTCGTTCGCATTAGGCAATACTAGTGAGATTTTACTTCATTCTTTCTAGATGACCTAAATACAAGCAAATAGCAAAATGAGGAATCAGTAAAAACTGAGTATTTCCCTCAGCTACTCCATTTGGTAATTGGGAAATAGAGGATAGTCAATAAAAACAAAATCTTGAATCTTTTTTTTCTCTATATTTTTTGAAATAATTTTTATCTTTTTTTTCTTTCTTTCTTTTTTTAGTTTTTTAAAACAAAGGAAATGAACACAACATGAGAAAAGCATTTTCAAGCGAATTTCTTAGAAATAGAGCGTTTTAATGAAACTATTTTAAACACTTGTATGAGTTTCAAAAAATTCATTTCATGAAAACATCGAAAACAATAAGATTTTTATAACTGATTGGTATGGTTTGTTATTGTTTTTCATATATTTGAGAAAAAAAATATGAAAAGTTCAAAAACTACTTTCATATCAGTTTTTGTGTTTATGTGAAAATTATTTTTGAAAGTTCAACAATTTCACATTTTGAAAAAATATGAAAGAAAACATAAAATGAAAATAGTGAAAAATGAAAGCAAAAGGCTTGCTTTTTGATGTGGATTTTTGTTTTTAATAGAAAGCACCGTTGGAGTCGAAATTCAAATCCTAAGACAAAGACAAGACATTGAATCGTCCAAAAGCCCAAATCCGTTGATCTTTGAGAGCTTATTATTTTTAATTAAATTTGAATTTTCAATTTAGAAGCTAAATAGTATAATGATAGTAGAAAGAAATGAGATAAAGAGATATTATTTTTAATTAAATTCCATGTGTTAATGTATTATATTAATGTATCCTAATATTATATTAACATGTATATATTATATTAACATATAGCTGTATCATACTAATGCATATATTAATATATCATATATAGCTATAGGATGCCAGAGCAGTGCCTTCGCTTTCGGCTGCTTTATCTTATTTTATGTTCTGCTTTCATAATAATGTTGTATCAAACAACTCCTATAAATGGAGTCCCTTCTTACACTTTCAGATACATTCAATATAAGAGTTTTCTTACTCTCTCAATATCACTCTCTTATTTGTTTCATGGTATCAGAGCACAGGTGTATTGCCTAGTCTCTTCTGCATCGCATTTTTATTTTGAGTAGATTGTTGCATATCTCGTCCTTATCTAAATTACAGATTGGACCACACCAGAACCTTCGTCTCCTCACGACGAATCCAACGCCACCAGATTCATCATCATCCGACGTTCCACGCGCCGCCAGAACTTTCATCCACGCGCCTCTTCGCCTCTCAGACGCGCTCTACGCGCCTCACACTTGCCCTGTGCTATCGTGCGCCGCAGCCTCATCTGCTAACATAAGCCGCGTGTTTTTGACGTCAGCTGACGTCAGCCCTGGCTGCTTCCGTGCGCCGCTTGCTTCCTCTGCTATCGTGCGCCGCGCCTGTCTGTGCTAACGTGCGCCGCTCCTGTGACACAGCAGTGACGTCATCTTTGACCAGATTGTAACGTCATCTTTGACCAGAATTGTTGACCAACTTTGACCAGCCAATTTAGTGCCTTCTGGTCATCTTTTTTTTTGGTCCGTTCACTCATTTCCCACTGATTTCGACCCTCTGCATTCACTGGTAACCTCAGATTTTTCAGATTCGGCTTCGAGAGTACTGCTTTTTTCTCATGGATCGCTTGGACTCCTCCAACCACCCTATTTCCGTTGTTCTTGACGGAACTAACTATGTCTTATGGGCACAAGCTATGTCTGGGTTCCTCAAAGGAAAGAAACTTTGGCGCATCATCACTGGGGATGTGTGCAAACCCATCCCAGCCACCACAGAATCCGCTGCCACCACGGACTCCGTTGCCAAATATGTTGACCGTCTGAAGGATTGGGATAGCAAAAACTATCAGATCATCACTTGGCTCCGTAATACTTCTATTACTTCTATCAGCCTTCAGTTTGGTCGGTTCCAACTTGACTTTGCTTCCTCTCCAGCCAAAGCCATCTGGGATTTTTTACAAGAACGCTACCAGACTACTGGCCTTGCTCACCAATATCAGCTTCTGAGTCAACTTCACCGTATGCGCCAAGACACAACTCAAACCATTAATGATTTCCTCTCACAAATGTATTATGTTTGGGATCAGCTCGCTCTCTCTTAACCTCCCTGGGAT